GGACTTCTAGCCTCCCTGTGAGAAAATAAGTTCTGTTGCTTAAACCACCCAGTTTGTAGCACTTTGTGATGGCAGCCTTAGCACACTAATAGAGAGCAGAGCAGTGGCTTCCCTGAGAAAGAAGTTCCACCTGCGGTCAGCAGCCTACCTCTGCTGATGCCTGCCCTCCAGGTTTCAGACTAGCTCAGCCAGTCCCACCGTCACATAACCCAAGCCCTTGCAACAAATCTCTTCACATGTACATCTCCTACTGGTCCTGTTGTTCTGATTGAATCCTGACTAACACTGAGAGTGTGCAAAGTGAAGACAGAAGAGCTGAGAAGGCTCTGGAAAACATGACCATTTAAGAAACACGAGAGGAAGAGGAGTCTGTGCTGTAGACGAGAAACCCCAAGGATGTGGCAGGAAGTGAAGGACAGGGTGATAGCAGAGAAAGTGAAGGGAGTAAGACTGGTCGAGCGTGCCAAATCTCCACAGAAATCAAGGGACAGTCAGCCCGAAATGAGCAGCTGAAACGTGATGCTCTAGCTTTGGTAAAGGAGCGTCAGGGAGGGGACCCAAGTACACGGGGCTGAGGAACAGGTGGAAGACAAGAAAATGAGGAAGGATTATCCCTCCAAGAAACTTACCTACAACACACAGGAGGATGAAAAGACACTAGCTAAGAGAACTCAGAAAAATGGAAGGGTCATGGATATTAATTACCTGTAAGATGACAGATGCTTGAGTAGGTCCAGATGCATAAGGGACAAAAGCAGTGGAGAGATTACAAATAGTGTAGAAAGGGGATAGCTAACACAGCAGAGACCTCAGGAGAGCTGGAGGTGATGAGATTCAACTCTCAGGAGCAGGGATTTGCTCTGGATACAAAGAAGGAAACGTCACTACAGAGATGAAATGATACGAGGCAGGGCAGCTGCCACTGCAGGTATGTAGGAAGAGCATTCCCAGCAGCTAGACTCCAGTGTCACAGTGAACTACTGAGTTAAGAACATCCCCTGACCATGACGAAATATGGTCAGGGAGAGGGTTTAGGAATTAGTACCAATGAAATTAGTTTGGGGTTCTTTTTGTTGGTTTTTTGGGTTGTTTTGTTTTGTTTTTAATGACAATTGGGAAAAGAAATTGGCTCTTTCTGGAAATAGGAGACATAGAAGCACTAGGCAGACTAAGGGTCAGATACACTTGAAGGTGGTGACTTTGCCTTCAAGTGTATCTTTACAAAGATAAAATTGATTTTATTCAGCAGCATTCAATTCGCTGGGAATAGGAATAGGAAGATAAGGTACTGGCTTGATCCAGGGTTGAGGTTTGGACAACGGCAGAAGGACAAGAAGGCAAGGCAGCCGAATGTATTGTCAAGAGAGGCTGCAGTGATGGTTTGTGGTACCCAGGTGAGGTAAGAAAAAAAAGAGTGTCTGGGAGAAAATGAAGGGCTGCCTGGTAAGAAAGTATCCGCAGGTCTGCAGAAGTGGTATAGAGGGCAATGAATTCAACAGTGAACCAAAGCACAGGCTCTGGGGTCAGGCTGGCTCCACAATCAGCAAGGTGTGACCTTGGTCAGTTTATTTAATCTTACTTTGCCTTCATTTTCACCATCTGTTAAATGGGGATGGTAAGACACCTATAGTTGTGAAGAGTAAATAAAATGATTCACGTGAAGTAGGGAGCTTTACCGGCCTGGCATATATTTAGTGTCCCTTAGGTTCTGGTCATGTCCGCTGGGGGAGGAGACAGTGTGCATGGAAGTTGTGGAAGAATATGGTTTAAGATGTCACAGGTGAGACTGCCTGGCAAGATCCAGGATGTGGGTGTGGGTGTGGGTGTGGGTGGGCACCACAGCATTCGCTGCAGGGGACCTGCACAGGAAGAGGTGGAGAGAACACAGGTATAGGATCCTAAGTGCTGCACCCATGGGCACACCCGAGGTGTCGTAGGAGCCAAAGACAGGGATCCAGGGCTGAGGCAAGAACCGCCCACCCCAGGACCATAAACCCCAAAGCCTGGTGAGAAGAGAGGCTGGTTTTCACAATGAAAAGTTACTATGCCCTAATATTAGGCAGTTATGGCAGTTGGTACCTATGAAATGATGAAAACACTTGAAATTGTAACTATATTCAGAGGGTTCTGGGCAGCATTTCAGGCACCCAAGATGGGAAAGCTATTTGTAAGACAGGTCTAAAAATAGTCAAGGCTTTTTCCACAACCCTAACTTCCTCCCCAGGTCTGAACTGGCCATCTCGGACCTGCACCTGCCCCAACATCCAAGCATCTTTAGAATGATGTCCTAGATGACTGAACCATGCCCCTTTTCAATGTGTAATATTTTAAAATAGCGTCCCTCTCAAAAGTGATCCTCCATCTTTTCAAGCAGTGTTACTTAGCTCTCAACATCAGTTATAAAAGCTGCATATGAATTCCTCACTCCGGTTCTGCTCTCAGTCCTGGTGTGTACACCATAGTCACCTCTCTCAAGTCTTCAGTTCCTTCTTCTTCCGAGTGAAATAAACCCACATCCACCAACTTTTCTTTTGAGGCTTTATTTTTCAACTCTTTGACCATCTCTCAGTCTTAACCAACTCCAAATACTCCTTAATCCTCTTAGCTATATATGTAAGCAAACTAATGTTTCAGTACATTGGCATTCCAGGATGATAGTGAAACTCCTCGCTTTTCATACTTCATCTCCAAGTAGTTGGGAGTGGAGTGGGAGGACAGATGATGTTACATGAACTAGCTAACTTCTTTTGTATTTTTAGCTAAATGTATCTCCTTTTAACAAATTTTAGGGTGCCTGGGTGGCTCAGATGGTTGAGCGTCTGCCTTCGGCTCAGGTCATGATCCCAGGGTCCTGGGATCGAGTCCCGCATCGGGCTCCCTGCTCAGCGGGAGCCTGCTTCTCCCTCTGCCTCTCTCTCTCTTCTCTCTCTCTCTGTCTCTCATGAATAAATAAATAAAATCTTAAAAAAAAAAAAAAACAAATTTTAGTCCTGGATATCTTTTGGATACACACACACACACACATACATACATGTAATTATATATTGCATATGTTATATAAATATATGAATAGTTAGTAAGTGTATTATGTTATAATTTATAATGGTGATTATTCATTATGTATAATTACATGTGATTATATATATATTTATATTTCATTTCTATTTCTATTTCTTCATATTCATATTTGGCATTAAAAGTCCTAGTTAATCTATAATTCTGTTTTCATTCTGACATGTCTACTGTTCCCCATAGAGTTGTCTTTGCACATATTTTAGGATTCTTCATTCCTTTTGATCCTACTCTGCAGGGCTATATAAACAGTTGTTAAGCAACTAAGAAGCTCTTCTCAAACTCAAAACTTCAGGTGCTCATTCAAATAACAATAAGATGTTATATGATATAAATAGGAACAGAGTTTTTTTTTTTCCTTAGCATCTTCTTCTTGTGTAATAATGTTTTATTACAAATCAACAGCCTCTGAACCAAAGATCTCCTAAAAATTTTAATTGTAATTGAGAACACAGCTGTCTTTCTTTTGGTTGCTGTAATCTTCTCTCTAATGGAGAGCAGCCCTGAAATTACTAATGACTTGGAAAAACAATGTGCTTTTAAAATATTTTCTCCCTCTGTAGCCTTTACTCATCACAGATAGAATGCCTATAAAATGCAATACACAATTATGGAAACCAAGGCTACCAAGCTACAAACACTAACTGTAGGTGAAATGAGCTTTATAATATATATTTGGAGGCTTAAAAGATGGGTTTTAGTTCCGGAGCACAGATGAAGATAAAAGACCTGACATTCTCAAACCTAGATAGATAGATAAATGGGCATTTTTTTTATTATGATGATTTCCCAAGACTCATGCTACTATAGGTAATGTTCTTAAGGTTCATAATAAATAAAGAGCTAAACTAAAATTAGAATTAAAAAACAAAAACGTAGTTTTTCTTCATCCCCTCAATGTCCCTGAAAAGAGTGACTTGTGTCCCTTATTTTACAGGGACTTCTCAAAGGAATGTAAGCTCCTTATTCACTCTTAAAGGTGTATTTCCAAAGCATTAACTCTCCCAGAAAGGGAAATACATACATATCAAAGGGCATCCAGAGCAAAGTTGGGATTTTTTTTTCTTTTCTTGTTTTCTTTGTTGAAAGAGGTCAAAATAAGAATCACTTCACTTACCAGAAAATTAGCAGATATAGGTGGATATTTGGGTATTTATAATTAGAAGTTGACTGCAATGTAATGCCACCAAAGAACAATAAAATAGAACCATCGGTTTCTCTCGGTGGAAAATAAAAAGCAAAGCAATTTTTGAAAACCTCCACAACCCACAGTTTCGAGGATAAATATTGGATGGCTTATTTACAAAAATCACTGATATTCTAAATAAATGAGATAACATTTCAGTACTAAAAGGGCTCATGCGTGAATACCAACAACCCTAAATAGTATACTGGCTTTTGCTCATAAACCATAGTCCCAATCTGATGAGTCACAGAAAATTCTGAATATCTCCAGTGCATTCGATGGGCCTGAATTTTACCTTAAAAAATATTTGCAAAGGACAGAACAAAGTGCTCGGAACTGGCGCGGAACACCAGGCTAAAAAGCCAGGAAAAGGTGCTAGCTTCTCTTCCAGAAGACACTGACCTTCCTCCACGCCTTTGTACTTTCCCTGACCACAGTTTTTAGTAGGGGTTTGGTTTGGGGAGAGGGGAGGAAGGGGGCGCGGGAGTGGAGGGTCATTCAAATGCTCAAAATGCCCCTGGCTGTTTGATTCGCCCCCCCGTGAACCTCGCAGTTCCCCACCCAAAACTCTTCCAGGAAATCCTTTACTTCAAGGAGGCCACCCTCTGAGAATCTCCAGAGTCCTGCACGGAGGGCAAGGAGTCTTCACCACCTGGCGGGAGCCGCAACCGCCGGTCCTGGCGGCAGAGCCCGACCTTCCCTCCCGACCCCAGCCACTGCGGCGCCCGGGTCCCGCACTCACCGGATGATCACGAACATGACCAGAGAGTTGCCCACCAAGCCCACGACGAACACCACGGAATAGACAGCCGTGATGATGACAGGGATGGCGGGAGAGATGTGCGCGGACTCCAGCGGCGCACCCTTGGATCCCCCGCTGCTGTTGCGGTCCGTCTCGGCCCAACCCGGCAGCCACCCGCTGCCGTTCGGGAGCAGGCAGGTGCTCGGGGAGCAGGTGGGGCCCGGCTCCCCGCGGAAGATCTGGACCGGGGACTCCATGGTCAGGCGGCTGCAGGTGGAGGGCAAGCAGAGGCAGAACCTGCGGGGCCACGAGAGCGAGAACCAGCTGGACCCGGAGAGGCAAACTTTGCCCGCCCACCGGCTTGCGAGCGGAGGCCAGCAGCCCGGGGAGCCCGGGACCCGCTGATGCCCACCCCGGCGCACTTCCCCAGGGGCGGGAAAAGGAGGGAGGACATCTCGCTGCAGCTGAGTACTGGTGAGGCGGACAGCGCTGGCTCCTCTTCCCCCGCTCCTGAAATCCCCTCCAACCCCTTCCTAGGTACGGTCCCCTGGTGGAATTGTCCCCAGACTGCTGCTCTGAGCCCCCAGGAACAAAAAGCTCTCGAGCACAAAGCCCTCGCTCCCCAGGACTGCTCCTCGAAAGTCGAAAGCCCAAAGCTCACCTCCGGCTTCTGGAGACCTGCACAGTGGTCTAGGGGACGTCTTGGCCCCTGCGGAACCTTGCGCTCCCGGGGCCGCTCAGCTCTCGGAGTCGCCGCGCACCCTCAGCCCAGCGCTCTGGCAGAGGCACCTTTTCAGTCGAGCTCGGTCGCCGCGCTCAGCGCGCGGCTCCCACGACCCGCGGCGGCTCAGCCAGGCCTTTGCTTCTAGAAGTCGGCGGGCTCACTGGCCCTGCGGATGGAGAGCTCCAGGGCGCCCCGCCCCGTCCCGCCCACCCGAACCCAGCCCCGCGCCCCCAGCTGAGGCTCAAGGAGCACCAACTACCCAGAGCCTCAATCAGCCTCTCTTGGATGGCTCTAAGACTGAGCTGCTGTGCCGTTTAGCTTTAGTAATAAGGAAGGGTGTGCCTCAGTGCGAGTATGCATCTGGATTATTCATAATAAAGTCTAGAACTACTGTGTGGGCCTCATTCTCCAGACAGGTCTTCTTTCAAGAGGAGAAAAAGCGTATTTTGAATGACCCATCCAAATAAAGTAGCAAAATAATCCAATTAGAATAAGACCAGGTAATAAGGTATTAATGATTTAGTATACATAAATAGAATATTCCTGTGCATTCTATTCCTTCTAGTCTTCTCTGAGATGACACACAGACTGCACCTTACAGGTATTACCTGTATTTTGTTGTATTACCTGCGAATGAGTAAAACACTCTCCTTAGTGTTGGCCAGGGAGTTGACAATGTCTCCTCTTTTTTTAATCCCTGCAATCATCACTTTTCTGTCCCTAGGGTAACTTCTCTATGAAGCTCGCAAGAACCTGAACTCTCACAGAGGAATTCAGTCATCATTTCTGTGCTTAACTCCACCAGTCAAGGATTGCTGTCAGATTCTGCTGGGTGAAAGACAGCCTCAGGCAAAAAGACCCAGGAGACAATGAAGAAAAGGAAGGAAGGCCAAGGTAAGTTGCACAGGGGAGCCAGGACTCGGCCACTGAAGTGAAGGTGCTGAAGGACATTGGGGAAGTTCCCCTCTCCCAACTGGGTATGGGAGTCAGGATGCTGATACAGTCATTCCATTCATCAGTTGACTGCGGAAGAGAGCTCCTACCTTGTTCAAGATATTGTGACCCCCAGAGACGAACCATGAGAGAGTGTGGACTCTGAGAAACAAACTGAGGGTTTTAGAGGGTGGGGAGGGGATGGGTTATCCCAGTGAAGGGTATTAAGGAGGGTACGTACTGAAGAGCACTGGGTGTTAAAGGAAAACAATGAATCATGGAACACTACATCAAAAACTAATGATGTAATATATGGCGACTAACATAATAAAATAAAATTTAAAAAAATAAAATACGAAATAAACAAATGTGAACAACAACAACAAAAAAACAGATGAATGGAGAGAAAAAAAAGATATTATGACCCCCAAAGAGGCATTTGACCACCAGAGTCTTAACAACAACCTCAAAATGCACAGCTCTTCTTAGCAATTTGATTCAAAGAACAACAGGAAAGCTCTCCTTTGCCCAACAGAATGCCTCCAACCCTGGGATCATTGGTGTTTTGAAAATTATTATCAAATCTTATATCTTTTTAGGTTTTGATTGCAGATTTTCATTAGAAGATGACAAAACATCAGAATGATGGGATCTCCATGTGTCTGAGGGTCCTTCTCTGTTAGGAAGATGGCAGATGAATCATCTCCATATGTCTGGGGGCTTGTTTCCTGCCAGAGGGATCCCAGACTACCACCAAACCAACCTAGGAAGACGTTTTGTTTGAAAATTAAGCAGTATCCAAATAAGAAAAAAAGTAAAAATAGTATGTTAAAGTAAAATAGCTAAGAAAGACAGAATTATCCATCTTTCTGTCTACTACCTATTTATTTATGATTTCATGCATTCAACATACATACAACTGTCTCTGTGCAACACACTTTTGAAAGGGTATTTACAATATCTATCCTTTTGCACTCACCACATTGGTTAATTTTTGTTGTTGTTGTATTTAGCACACAGGTGCCTCACACAGCTGGTAACAGTACTGAGTTGGTTCAAACACAGGTGTTTCTGGCTCTTGCAATATGCTGATTGCACAGAATGATTTCATGTAAGGGAGCAAATGCAGAGCCACTCTTCTCCAAAAGACAAAATATATATAGAAAGGGTTATTTGGCAAGGACAAAAAAGAAGAACAGGAAAAGTATTACTTGAAAAGATTTAGGTAAAGTTGTTTTTTCTTTTTTAAGATTTATTTATTTGAGAGAGAGAGCATGAGTGGGTGGGGGGGCAGAGAGGGAGAGGGAGAAACAGACTCCCCAATGAACAGGGAGCCCCATGTGGGGCTGGATCCCAGGACCCTGAGATCATGACCTGAGCCGAAGGCAGAGGCTTAACCGACTGAGCCACTGAGGTGCCCTAACAGTTTTAAAGAGGTAAAAAACTTTAAAGACGTTTCCAAGTTGGTACAATTCCAATAACTTGAGCTTTTGCTCTCCCGTACATCTCATATGTGTATACATAGTGTATGTGTATGGAGAGGTTTGCCAGGTACTTCTATAATGAAAGCAGAATGCAGAACTCAGCCTGGGACTTCTAAACTATAAGACAATGTTCTCATTCTGATCACTCATAAGAAACCTCTACTAGTTGGGACAGTCTTTTGAAGGCAAAAATTACTAATTATGATAAAGGCAGTTTTGTTTCATTTGAGTTCTCCTATTTTTTTTTCTTTTTTACCAAACTAATGGCCAAAATAAAGTGAAGCCAAAATGGACAGAGCATTAAAAAACCTTCAGGCAGTTGCGGTTGCCAGGGGAACCTGGCTTGTGCTCTGAACACAATGAGGAAGTCCGCTTATGTGGAGTCAGGTTGTCAGGAGTATGAGATTTTATCATAATATTGGAGAAAAGCTATAAAATAGAGAGGAAAAATAAACTGCTAAAATGCTGTGCACTATTATGCACTGATATAAAGCACATGTTATTAAACTTACACTTTATCGCTACCTGCCATTCTGCTCAGTGCTAAAACTATGCTTATAACTCTAAGTACTTTTAAAGCTGAAAAATGTGTTTTCAATGATTCTTATTGCTTCATGCTACAAAGTGTCTTGGGTCATGGGTGCTTTGGCATTTCTATTGTATAGACTATGGACCCTGCCAGTAAACTGTGATCAACTGGCTTTGTTGTGGCTCTAAAAACAGACATAAACCTGCACTAAGTATAAGCTGAAGGCAGCAGTTACATCTGCTTAAGATGCCAGGTGTGGCCAGTGCAGCCTAAGAGGAGCCAGAATGCAGCAGGCCCCAGGTCCATCACTGATCAGTTATTGTTGAATGTCCCCAAGTGGCAGGTGAGAAGGCAGGACTCGAGGGAGTAAAAAGGCAGTTTTTTCCCAAACAGGTTATGCAATCTAGTGTGAGAGACAGAACTTAATTTTAAAAAATTTTATGAATAATTAATAACAAGTAGAGTTAACTGGTGTTTTATAAGAAAACTGTTTAATAATAAACAAGGTGGTCAATGACCAATGCAGCAAGTTTGTGCAAAGTAAATAAAAGCCTTCCCTTCTTCAAGATGCTATTGGCAAATTGCCATAATAAAGATGTAAGTCCCCTTCATGTCTTTGTCATGAAGACGTCCTGTGAGCTATTGCAAGTGTATAGCCTGCGCATGTTTAGGGGGTGCTGAAGACCAGATGTCAGGGAAACTTCCTCATGACAAAAGCATCAGGGAAGTCCTTCAAGACCAACTAGTGTTGAAGCTGGCACTTAAAGACTGCAGGTAGTTCTCCAGGTGAAGAGGAGGAAAGGGACATTCTAGGCAGAGACATTCTAGCATATGTGAAGAACATGCATGAGCAGGAGTGGAGCACATTTATGGAACTGACGGGAGTCCAAGGTATCTGAGCCTGATGACCAAGGGAAGTGTGGCACAAGATAAAATGGCAGTCAAGGTCAAGATTACACTGAGCCCTGGGGCACCTGGTCTTGGGGTTGTGTTATCGAGCCCTGTGGGCTCCACACTCAGCACAGAGTCTGCTTGGAATTCTCTCTCCCTCTCCCTCTGCCCCTGCTGCTTGTGCTCAATCTCTCTCTCTCTCTCTCTGTCTCTGTCTCTCAATCTCTCTCTTATAAGTAAATAAACCTTTAAAAAAAAAAAAAGATTGCACGGAGCCCTAACAAATAATATGGTGAAGGTTTTGGATTTCAGCATAAGACACATGAAGAGACATGAAGAATCTCAGGTAGGAGAATAATATGCTCAGATTTGGGATTTTTGAAATATCACTTATGTTTACTTTGTAGACTGTATTGGAAGGGACAAGAGCAGATGTGACAAGTCCCATACTGAATCAGCATCATGTACTGTTACCACTAAAAGTCACCTTAGTGTGACACTTACCTGCGTATTATATAAATAAGAGATAAAATGAGGATTTTCCCATGGTCACGGAGCTGAGTCTTAAACCTGAAACTGCTTACACTGAACCACTTGATCGAACTGAATCCACAGATTTGAAATTCAGTGTCAGTCCCATGTTAGGTGCTCGGTTGGGGAGTGAGAGAAATTATGGCAACAAAGGCAATAAATGGCACATGATGGCATGTTCCCAGTGTTAGTAGCACCGATGGTACTGAGGTGAGAGC